CTACCTCATAAGGTTCAGTTTCATATAAAATTTGTTGCAATTTGTTATTCTTTTGCAATTATTTCTTATAAGATTTTACATCTTTTAGCGGGGAATGTTTGTTATCATGCATATATTATAAATATCTACACGATAACGAACATTCCTCGCTAAATTGCTGAGAAACTTTGAGGAAATGTCGAACAATTTCCTCAAAGTTTCTCAGATTTATATAGATCACTAGAGTCCCCTAGGCACTGATTCTGGTTCAGTACCTAGGAGGCTCTAGTTCTCTAACGAACTGATAAAATGTTTTTAAATTTTTGGATATTGCTACCTGTGAAGCACTGACTTCAAGTCAGTATCTCACAGGTAGCAATTACATTGAAAGATGGAGAAACTTTGTCCGAATGTTAAACTATTCGGACAAAGTTTCTCCCATTTTGTAGTGGAGATGGAAGACTTTGAGGTATATTATATTAATGTATACCCCAAAGCCTTCCATCTCCACTTGAAAGTTCCAAAACTTTGGGTTAATAGTTTGCAATTAACCCAAAGTTTTGGAACTTTCTAGAAGGAATTGCAGGGTAAGAGGTACATATTCATACTATGTACCTCTACCCTCCAATTCCTTCCTTAACATAAACAAATTTGGAGTTAATTGTTTGCAATTAACTCCGGGTTTGTTGACCTCCAAATGAAAATGAAAGGGTAAGAGGTATATAGTGACCCTATATGCCTCTTACCCTTTCATTCTCATTAATTATGGGAGAAACTTTGGCCGAATGTTAAATTATTCGACCAAAGTTTCTCCCATTTTTTGAAGGGATTGGAGGCTATGAGATACTGATGCAATGTCAGTACCTCATGGCCTCCAATTCCATCCTGAAACTGATCAAAGTGGACCTTACATGCATTTGAAATTTGCCATGTAAAGTCCACTTTTTGAGAGAGAGGATTTGACTGCGTCAAATCCTCTTTTTAGTTTACGAGAGTATACAAATGTATTTGTCGTATTGATTTGAAAGATCTTCAACATGGTTCAGATCTAAATTTGAAACTCGTAAAATAAAGCGAATCTTTATTTATAATATAAACTGCTACAATATGCTAGTGTGTACAAATGTGTTTGTACAAATGTATAACTCTTTGTCAATTGTCATGGCACCTTATAACTTAAAAATCATTTTCATTAACAAATATAAAAAGTGACAATTAATATTTTCATTAAATGCATATTTAATTATCAAAACAATGTCGATTTAGCTTGAATGTTCATTATAAATGTGTAAGTTTAGGAAAACAAAAAATAATTAATTCTCGCAAAGAAACTTATTTTAAAAGAACCTAAACAAAAGTTCATATAATAATAAATCTAAAAATAGATATTAATTTAAACGAAGATAATGAGAGAATGGGGATGTTGTAAAACAATGAGACTTAATGATCAAATAATTAAAATAATAAAATTAATTAAAGGAAAGCTAAAATAGTTTAATGAATTTTTATAGATTGATTACACAATCAATGTTTCTGTGTCAATGTACATCAATCAACATTGTTTCATTGAATTTTGTCTTTCACCAAGAAGATTCAAGAACAAAGTTTTGTAGTTTCAATAGATTGATTACACAATCAATGTTTCTGTGTCAATGTACATCAATCAACATTGTTTCATTGAATTTTGTCTTTCACCAAGAAGATTCAAGAACAAAGTTTTGTAGTTTCAATAGATTGATTACACAATCAATGTTTCTGTGTCAATGTACATCAATCAACATTGTTTCATTGAATTTTGTCTTTCACCAAGAAGATTCAAGAACAAAGTTTTGTAGTTTCAATAGATTGATTACACAATCAATGTTTCTGTGTCAATGTACATCAATCAACATTGTTTCATTGAATTTTGTCTTTCACCAAGAAGATTCAAGAACAAAGTTTTGTAGTTTCAATAGATTGATTACACAATCAATGTTTCTGTGTCAATGTACATCAATCAACATTGTTTCATTGAATTTTGTCTTTCACCAAGAAGATTCAAGAACAAAGTTTTGTAGTTTCAATAGATTGATTACACAATCAATGTTTCTGTGTCAATGTACATCAATCAACATTGTTTCATTGAATTTTGTCTTTCACCAAGAAGATTCAAGAACAAAGTTTTGTAGTTTCAATAGATTGATTACACAATCAATGTTTCTGTGTCAATGTACATCAATCAACATTGTTTCATTGAATTTTGTCTTTCACCAAGAAGATTCAAGAACAAAGTTTTGTAGTTTCAATAGATTGATTACACAATCAATGTTTCTGTGTCAATGTACATCAATCAACATTGTTTCATTGAATTTTGTCTTTCACCAAGAAGATTCAAGAACAAAGTTTTGTAGTTTCAATAGATTGATTACACAATCAATGTTTCTGTGTCAATGTACATCAATCAACATTGTTTCATTGAATTTTGTCTTTCACCAAGAAGATTCAAGAACAAGTTTTCCTCTTTTTCTTTTTTAAATGATTAAAATATTACCTTGCTTCAACTTTACACGTTTTCGTTTACTAAAATTATCTTTTACCTTCACTTATCTTATCATACCCAATTATTCATTTAATTCTATATTTTTCTGACCAAAAATCCTCTCAAATCTCCCTTCTTCTTTCAAAAATTCTATGAGTTTATTCAAATTTCCTTCTATAAGATTCATTCTAAAATTTTTGAAAAAAAATTTAAAATTTGCTAAATATATTCTTTATTACTTTGCACTATTTTCCAATTGAAAAATTGTCGATTTTAATCAAATGTAAGATCATCATAATAAAAATTATGAAACTTACCGTGTTTATTAGTAAATTTCAATATGAAGTTGTTATACAAACAGCTGGGACTTTAAATTGAGAAATTGCATAATTCCATCTACAAATTTTGGTCTAGACAATAATCATTGATAAATTATAATATATGTATTATGTGTATTTACATTGCATATATAACAATTTCAATTTCTATATTAAATTGTTATTTGATATCAGCTATATTTGTTCAGGTAAAATGAAGTGTAAAAATATAATTCATGAATTACATATATATATATTATTTTTATTATTAAAATCAAATTCAGATTTATAAATTAAGGTTATTCATTTTTGATATGGTTATCACGCTCAAATATGGAAATAAAATTAAAAAAGTCAATACTCCTCAAGAAATACATTGTCTATCATTATATCTATATGCTTCCAAAGTATTTCATCTTAAACTAAAGACTTTTATATTACAAAAAGATTCAAAGAAGATACAATTGTTTAATTATGTTAAACATTATTCAGATATGACAATTGAAATAAAAGAGTCAAAAAAGCCTCTAAACTATTTGACAATCCAATAATTTCTTCAACTAAACTATCAAATTTGGAGGATTTAATAAAATGTGGATATGATATGGATATTTCATAAATTGCATTGTTTTCAGCCAGAAATGACATTGATACTGCTATGAAAATACTGAACATGGATTCAATCGAAGAATATGGATATGAACTTAATTGCTTATTAAAACAAGTAAGAGAATTTAGAAGAAGTGATATAAAAGGTCAAATGATTGCAATAAGGACAGATAGCAATGGTAAAAAATACACAGAAGTATTAGCAGAAGGGATTTTTAAAGCAGATAGCGATGTTGAATCAAGTGATGATTCATATGATATCATTGAAGATGTAAAATCAGATAAAATGAAATCAGGAAACGCAGTTAATATTAATGATATAATTGGCAATAGGAATCCAAATATTAATGGAGAAACGATTAATAGCCATTCAAATATTAATCAAAACATTAATGAAAGAAATTCAAATATTGATGGGGAAACGATTAATAGCCATTCAAGTATTAATCAAAACATTAATGAAAGAAATTCAAATATTGATGGGGAAACGATTAATAGCCATTCAAATATTAATCAAAACATTTATGAAAGAAATTCAAATATTGATGGGGAAACGATTAATAGCCATTCAAATATTAATCAAAACATTAATGAAAGAAATTTAAATATTAATGATGAAATTACTGATGGTCATCAAAATATTAATGGACGCATATTGAAACCAAAATCAAATAATAATAAATCTCGGCAAGCAATCCTCAAATTACCTCCTAATTTTATACAAGTAAATAGAGTAAACATCCAAGTTCCTCCAGCGCCAGCTCTTCCTCAACAGAGACAACAACAATCTCTTCCAGCTCAGACTCTTCCTCAACAGAGACAACAACAATCTCTTCCAGCTCAGACTCTTCCTCAACAGAGACAACAACAATCTCTTCCAGCTCAGACTCTTCCTCAACAGAGACAACAACAATCTCTTCCAGCTCAGACTCTTCCTCAACAGAGACAACAACAATCTCTTCCAGCTCAGACTCTTCCTCAACAGAGACAACAACAATCTCTTCCAGCTCAGACTCTTCCTCAACAGAGACAACAACAATCTCTTCCAACTCAGGCTCTTCCTAAACAACAACCACATATAACTGATAATTTATCTTTTGATAACTTTATTAACCCTCAAATTATTATTGATAATGCGAAAGTATATCAAAGTATTTCCGACAAAAGGAGTCAATATAATCTTTCCAAAACCATTTGCGAACAATGTGTTGCAAACTACAATATATTGAACAAAAGATGATAAAGAAGCCCAGAGAATAAAAATTAGTGATATTTTACGTACTTATCATACATTTAGTATATCTGACTCTGACAAACTTGCCTATAGGAAAACGATATATCCTCAAGGTATTCCATTACGATTTGAACGTTATTATTGCAAGAATGATCATTTAGAGTTACACTATTATTGTGCCAAACGAAAAAAATGTGGTTATTCACAAATTATATCATTATTTCCAGCTGGTTCGAATATAAAAGCGTCAATCCACGAAATAAATCATCCACACAACTGCTCCAAATCGAAATATTCGATTGAAATCAATGGAACACATCAAATCAGGTATGAATTCGAATCAATGATATCAACTTATATTCAAAATAATCCATTGTTATCACTAGCTGAAGCTCGACAATATTCAAATCAACTCATATTTGAATACAATTCTTCACATGATGATACTATTGATATTTCACCTCAAACAATAGCAAAGCTATACTACGAGATCAGGCCTAAAATCAAACTAAGCGAAAATGAATTAATTAAGAAGTTATTAGAAAAGTATAACAGCACAGATTATTATATAACCCAATATTACTCAAGTTCAGATGATACTAACTATTATTTCTTCGGGTTGCCAGCTTTTATAAAAAGAGCTAAAACTTGCAACCATCTTTTCATAGATGGAACATTTCGTATCGTTCCAATTAAGTTAGCAAATGGGCAGCTCTTAAATCTTTTAGTATACGATGAAGCTACAAATTTATATTTACCTTTCCTTCATGTACTAATGACAGGAAGATCATCACTTAACTATGATACAGTTTTTAATTTAATGATCACATGTCCTCTTATTAGTATATCATTGGGAAAATATAAAATCATTACATCAGATTTTGAGAATGCATTAATGAAATCAATCAAATCTAAAGTCAATGATGAAACTACAGTCACTGGTTGTATATTTCATTATATAGCAGCTCTTGTTAAAAATTTCAAAAAGTTATGTGATGAAAACGATGTTTGCGCAAAATCACTTTTAAAACTATTATGTGCATGTCCTTTTGTTCCAATAGAAGTTTTTGAAATAATTTGCAAAAAATTAGATGCGATTAAAGAAATAAATGATTTTGCAAAATATTTCTTAAATACATGGGGTAAAAAGTATGATGTAATTAACAAGCTGAAAGTATCTGATATGATCTTTTCCAATAATGGAGTTGAGTCATTTAACAAAGTGTTAAACTCTCATATTGCATTCCCACATCCAACTATTTATCATATGATTTACATCCTATTGAAAGTTGATAAGGTATATTTTCATCGATATGCAAGGCAGCAAAATGACAATTTTGATCATAAAAAATCGTATTTTATACCATTGACAAGAATTCAACAAGAGTTAGATGTATTCACATCTAATTTTGGATTAGAACGTGCAGAAATACCAAGTGAAATAATCAAAAAACATAAAAAATCATTTCGATTTGGAGAGGCCGATTATCGAGATATAGAAATTGAAAAATATCTGAATAAAAATGATGAGCAGTTTTCAAATTCTGTTACAATTAAATTAGAAGAATCCGATGATATAAATATCAATGAATTCGAAATTACAGAAGATGATATTTTTGGAAATGAGATTAATTAATTTATGACAAATCATTTAGAATAAAAAATTATTTTATAAGAATTTGAAAATTAATAATAAGGGAAATAGGAACAGTAATATATAAGTATATATGAAGACAAAAATTCAATGAAACAATGTTGATTGATGTACATTGACACAGAAACATTGATTGTGTAATCAATCTATTGAAACTACAAAACTTTGTTCTTGAATCTTCTTGGTGAAAGACAAAATTCAATGAAACAATGTTGATTGATGTACATTGACACAGAAACATTGATTGTGTAATCAATCTATTGAAACTACAAAACTTTGTTCTTGAATCTTCTTGGTGAAAGACAAAATTCAATGAAACAATGTTGATTGATGTACATTGACACAGAAACATTGATTGTGTAATCAATCTATTGAAACTACAAAACTTTGTTCTTGAATCTTCTTGGTGAAAGACAAAATTCAATGAAACAATGTTGATTGATGTACATTGACACAGAAACATTGATTGTGTAATCAATCTATTGAAACTACAAAACTTTGTTCTTGAATCTTCTTGGTGAAAGACAAAATTCAATGAAACAATGTTGATTGATGTACATTGACACAGAAACATTGATTGTGTAATCAATCTATTGAAACTACAAAACTTTGTTCTTGAATCTTCTTGGTGAAAGACAAAATTCAATGAAACAATGTTGATTGATGTACATTGACACAGAAACATTGATTGTGTAATCAATCTATTGAAACTACAAAACTTTGTTCTTGAATCTTCTTGGTGAAAGACAAAATTCAATGAAACAATGTTGATTGATGTACATTGACACAGAAACATTGATTGTGTAATCAATCTATTGAAACTACAAAACTTTGTTCTTGAATCTTCTTGGTGAAAGACAAAATTCAATGAAACAATGTTGATTGATGTACATTGACACAGAAACATTGATTGTGTAATCAATCTATTGAAACTACAAAACTTTGTTCTTGAATCTTCTTGGTGAAAGACAAAATTCAATGAAACAATGTTGATTGATGTACATTGACACAGAAACATTGATTGTGTAATCAATCTATTGAAACTACAAAACTTTGTTCTTGAATCTTCTTGGTGAAAGACAAAATTCAATGAAACAATGTTGATTGATGTACATTGACACAGAAACATTGATTGTGTAATCAATCTATTGAAACTACAAAACTTTGTTCTTGAATCTTCTTGGTGAAAGACAAAATTCAATGAAACAATGTTGATTGATGTACATTGACACAGAAACATTGATTGTGTAATCAATCTATTGAAACTATATTTAACAAAAAAGGTAGTGGGGCTTCCAGGCGCGTTGCGCCCTCTAGCCCTGAAGATGTTTAGTATAAATGAAGTTTTTATTCGGAGGGCTTCCAGGCGCGTTGCGCCCTCTAGCCCATAAGAAATTTTTCCCAAGACCCAAGAGGAGGACCGAACCCCAGCCGACCAGCCGTTGACTTTTTTGTAGAGCACTCAAAATAGTATAACTTTGTCCGGACAAGTAAGGGTCTATCGTCGCTACAGGAAAAGTTACAGGCGTTCCAAGGAAGTACACTTTGAGAAGCCTTTTCTCCATTTTAAAACAAGATAGGACGGTTATTTTACAAAACTGACAACACTTTGACCGAGTAGTTTTTTGTGCTGAACAAAAAGTGTCATATAAACATCTGTCAAAAACCGTTTTTTACTTCACTTAAAATGCCACGTAAGCTACGTAAGAATATACGTAAGAGGAAGAGAGCATTGAAACATCCAATAGTAAAACTGACACCACAACAACAGTTGCAACAACAAATGATGAATGACCCCACTATGTTGCAACAAATGTCAAGCAACCCTATGCTTTTAAACCGAGTTATTGGTGCACAGAGTGGAGGTTTAAGAGCGGCACTTTTAGCGAAAATGGCAGGCTATGGTGGAGCTGCAGACGGAACAGCTTATAACCCTCAAAGTCAAATGAATTTGAGTTCACTCAAAATCAAATAACAGATGTCAAAAAGTCAAACATAGACATACAGAAACAAATAAGTGAAAACGAAAAGAAACTAGAATATGACAGACACACAAAGAAACTCAATGAGTTAAACGTAGAGAAAAAGAAGAAAGAAGAACAACTGAAAGAACTAAGTACAGAGGAATATGCGAAAAAAGTGTCAGAAAAGCAGCAGAAGTAGCAAAAATGGAACAAGATGTTATAAATTTGAAAAACCATACTACTCAATATAAAGTACTGAAAGATGAAGAGATAAAACAAAAAGCCTGAAGACATATATGGATAGCGATGAGTATAAAAAAGAGTTGAAGCAAATGTAAAGGCAGAAAAACTTTTACAGTTGCAAAACCAAACCGTACAGTATGAAAACTTAGCACAAGAAAGTAAAATAACGACGCAGCCATGCAAAAGGCAATGAAAAGCGCAGAATATATAAAAGCTAATAATGACTGGTTAGATGCCCAAGCCAACGCTAAAGCAGCCCAACTTATAGGGTCAATAAGGGACAAAAATACAAGCGGATGAAGACAGTTCAAATGAAGCTTTAATGAATGCTGACTTTAAGAACGCCTTCGAAGCTCTTCTAGTAAGGTGAAACTAGTGAACGACTTCTCATCTGGAAAGAAACTGAAGTCTGAAGGTTTCGACAACGAGTTAAGAGAAGTAGCACAAAATATGACGAAAATAACAGATGCAGCAACGAGACAGGCAGTTCAAAGTGCCTATGACGCCGTTAGAGCAACTGTTGTGGAAAGTCAAGAAAAAGAGTTACAACAGACCAAAACAGACCTAGTAAATGCTTTCTTAAAAACGAAAAGTCAGGTAGGACATTATGCTGCAGATGGAACATATGTGCCAGCTGGTGGAACTTATATACCACCAAACCCTCCAAGAGAAGCACCTGCACCAGGACTACCTAAAACATTTACATCGTCACATGGACACAGACACAGGCATGCACCAAAACCAACACAACAACCAACAATTCAAAACCCTGCACCACAACCAAAACCAGCACAACAACCAACAGTTCAAAACCCTGCACAGCAACCAACAGTTCAAAATCCAGCACCACAACCAAAACCAGCACAACAACCACCTCCACAACCAGCACAGCAACCAACAGTTCAAAACCCTGCACAGCAACCACAAACAGAGCAAAGACACAAAAGAAGTAGAGAACAAGGAAACCAAGAATTCTTAAAAATGCTTAAGGAAGATTATGGTTACCCAGATACTCTTGACTTTAGTGACAGATATAAAGAAGCTATTAGAAAGTTCAAGGAAGGAAATACTGACCCGAACCTATTTAGCTTTATGGTTCAGCACCAAATGGGATATAATTTCAAACCTGGAAAATACAAGCTCGCTAAGGGATATGATTTAATAGCATATCATCCAAATGACATGACTGAATTTACTCCGAGATATTTGGTGTCAGAGCTAAATGATAATTCAACTCTCTTCATGAAACGCGTAAAAAATAGAGACGGAACGAAAGAAGAAAGGTTTATGAGTCCGGATGACTTAGATAGGGAACTTTTTAAAAACGGTCTCGGAATATATGAAATGCCAGCAGATGAGGTACAAGAAACTCACAGGAAGAAGTTCAGATACAACCAGACATGGAAAAAATAGTTCAGCAACAACAGCTAGAAGAGCCAGAAGGAACGAACAAGTCCCTCCTTTGGAAACTAACTTCACAGAACTAGATGAAGATTTGGAACAGCCGAAAAAATCTTGACCCTCAACAAGTGTATGCGGAGAATATGGAATCTTTCCAAGAGTCTAAGAAAAATTCGGCTGACATAGTAGAAGAATATCGAAAAATGTTCGCCGACATACAAAAGACTCCAACATCAGATGAAAATATTCAGCATAGAATGGAAGAACTGAAAGAAAATGTACGCAAATACAATAATCCTTTTTACTTACGACCATATAACGTTCAATCTTTGGCTGAACTCGGTGAAAATAAAAGGTTAAATTTCAACAAAACATATAGAAATGAAACATTGTTTAAAGTTCATTCAGAACCTAACCAATATGGAAACAAACCTACTTTTGTTTCTGCAGACTATGGAACTACAATGAGATGGTCATAAAGCTAATCCGGATAGGTGGTTCATAAACTTACAACCTCAATTCCAAGAAGTTGTAGACGCAATGGAAGTGAATGGTGAACCAGATATAGCTGGTATTTTCAGCGCGGCTTTAATGCCATTGAAAGATATGAAAGATGCAGATATTTTGGACCAGTATGAAATGAACATGGCTGATGGAAATATAACACCTGACGTTCTAGAACATTTATCTCAAAGAACTACACAGAACCATAGAGATGGTATATTTGGTGAAGAGTTTAGAAAGAAAGTTAGGAGAGAGAAGGAAGAGAACCTATTGTACATGACCTTGCAAACGAAAGTTTGCAAAATGTCATAAAAACTTACTTTGCAGACAATGAACCGAGAATGGATGAATATTTAAGAAAACTCAAATGGACAGTACCAAATGAAATGTTAGTATTGAAAAACATGTTCCTTGACAAAATAAAACCAACTACAGAAATAAATGACGCAAGACTGAAAACGTTGGGTAAAAGCTTTCCCATTCACAAAAGATATTATTGGTAACATGGAAAGAAAACCAGAATGGCTACAAAAACATATATTTGGAAACGAGCTTGTTCCATATGGACAAGCTCTGTTTGAAGAGCTTGAACCGGAAACTCAGGAAAGAGTCATGCAAACAATACGCAAAGACTCAAATACAAACTATGACAAAATCTTTCTAGGATATAGGTTACCTGAGATGGCGACCAGAGCCCAAAGGCAAAAAGGACATGGGAAATTTACAACATACTAGGTGAACATGAGGCAAAGATGCAACAACTTGAAGCAGAGGGCAAGTTACCAAAAGCGACACCAAAGAAGAAGAGAAGAGTAGAACAAAGTGAAAGTAGTGAAGAAGTAACTTCATCTAGTGAAAGTAGTGGCAATGAAGGAAAAAGAAGAGTTAAAAACTCAGTCAGGAAGAAAGTAAAGCTTGGTACGTTCTATTATGACAAATAAATCCAACTATTCTATATTTTTACCCATATGAAATGTACGCCGCTCAGAATATAACGCCAACAGTTTTGGATGCCATGAACGGAAATGTTTCCGAATGGTATAACGAATGCGACAATGCCATTAGAAGGTCAGAAATAGTTCCTGGAACTTACGAATATACAACTGCTGTTTCTTATGGAAACGTAGGTGAGTTTGGAGAAGGTTCTTCAACAACAGTAGATATTGCTTGCGACAGGTTTCATATTATTTCTATTGACAACTCATTCTTATACGTGGAACAAGACATTGAAATAAAACCTTCTTCCAAGTTGTCTGACAAGAAAGGTTGCAATGGAATTTTCTATGTCGGATACCAATATGCTCCAGAAGTTTTTATGGATATAAGATATATTCTAACTCTGACTTAGTTCAAACAGTAACATGGGCAAACTATGAATGGTTCGCTTTGAGAAACTCAGTACAATCACAAGCTAGAGAACAAACAGACCAGTATGCAACTATTGAGAAAATAAGAAGACTTGACCCTAACGTTCCAGGAGTTTATGTTAACCTTTCTGGACAAACTGCAGCAGCAGTAACCAAAGTAAAACTGAAACTTAGAGTTCCTTTGTCATCTTTCCTCATCTTCAGGTTTTTAAGATACTTGCCAAACTGGGCAGGAAAAATTTCTATTGAACTTACTCCAAGCAAAAATAACTTAGTCATTGCACCAACACAAGACCCATTCAGCATTACTGTAGCTGGAACTGGTGGAGCCAAGTTCTGTGACTTTGCAAAGACAAAGTTGACTTAGACTTTGGTTTCTCAAACCTCAACACTGAAGTAAACTATTATTTCAATGCTGCTGGAGATGCTTGGGACCCAGTTAAGTTCACATGCGAAACAGTTTGAATGCAAGAGAATAGAAAGCAGACTTGCAGTCTATATGTTGGACCCAGATATTTCAAATGCTTTAGCTGCCAAATATATTGCAGTTCACTTATGTTCCCTATACACCAAATATCTGTCAAAGACTTTGCAGGTGAAGTTGGAAACCAAAGTGCTGACCAGGTGCAAGAACAGATATTGCTTTAAACAACTGCAATGAAACATGCAGATACTATGTTTGTACTGTTCAGACGAACTATAAATGACTATTCTTGTTTTCTACCCCCGGTATTAAATATCATATAAACATAGATGGCAAATATTATCCAAGAGAAGAATATTCTACAGTTGAAGATATGAGGTCAAACAACTTGACATTAGATGCTATGAACTTTAAACAAAAACTTCACAACAACCATTAACCCTGAAATGCAAAGTTCTATTATGCCATATGTGAAAGTATGGACTCATACAGGAGGTCAAAAAACTCAATATACAAATGGAGACCGTTCAAACTTTTGGCTTGGCATTCCATTTGCTGACTCAGAAGACTTTATGGGTGGTATTTCAACTGTTGGTACAGTTCAAATACAATATACTGGTGACAGAGACGGTCCAGATGAATTGAGAGCAAAGAAGTTTACAAAACCAATAGCACTTTTCACGGAAGATGCTCTTTTGAAGATTCGTTCGATGAAACCTGCTGGGGCTCCTCAGATTGGCATAACGACAGCTTCCATCGAGCAGATTTTGGCAGCAGGTCAGTAAGTTGTTCTTGAACTGACTTCTCTCCGTCAAATATTGACAGTACGCCAGTTTTGACATAATATTGTAATAAACTTACCTTTAGAATATCTGTAAGTTTTGTTGTTATATTTTTGTCTGCTTCAAGAACTTTCACCATTTCAGTTATACCAACTTTCTTTGCTTTATGAAAATATTTAGGTTCAGCAAAGACTGCTATTCTATAACATTTTCCATTGTTTGTGTAAAGAACTATTCTGTCAATGTATTTGTATTGTTTGTGAGTATAAACTTTGTTCTGCTTCAATTCAATAAGATATCCGAATACGTCCATCTTTTTATTCTAAGTAAAATGTCATTTCCGAAAAATAGAAGCGTAAGTGTTTCAAAAGGTTTAATGGCGGTGGCAGATGTGAAGTTAAATTCACCAACTCAAACAAACAGTCAAAGTGTTATTGTCAATGTCAAAGACAGAGATGTTGAAGTGGGGAAACCATACGAAGACGAAGATGGTATAACAATTGTTCCTGTAAAAGAACCAACATATCCTGAAGTTAACAGAGACTTAAGTTCTGTTGCAGATATTCGAAATGACTACCAACAACTGAAAGACAAACTTCAAACTCAGGAGAAGATTTGTCAAGCTTTAAGTATAATGTTAAACTTGGTCGAACACAACCCTGTAAAAGTGAACTCATATGTCATTGCACCTCATGAAGTTTTGAAAAGAACTATTGAAACTTTTGACAGAGGCAGACGATATAAACATCAAAGAAATAGAACCCGACATTAGTTGCTGTGGTGTTTCATATAATGTCATTGACAAGATATACGTTATGAAAGGAGGTGAAACGTTGAACTTAAAATATAGTTTCCCAGACGTTATAAAATATTTGACGACCACAACATTTCATTAAAGTTTAGTTGCTAAGTAAATGGCAGAAGACATAATGGTTTATACTATTACGACTAAAAACCCTGAGTCATATAATTCTATAACAACAAACTTACAAAGTCCTCAAGGACGATATTGTAAACTAACCTTAAACACAATGACGACTAAAGCCTGTTTTGCTCTTTTGACACCAGAAGACTTTATTGTTGTGAATGGTAAAAAATACTCCTTTGAAGATACTTACTCAGATATACCACCAACAGGTTTTGTTGACTTATTTAATACTTTAAGTACGGGGTAACATGTGCTGCAACTAGAGCAGGTTTCATTATGTTTGGATGTCCGACTGAGTTTACTATAAACGATATGAGCTATAATACAAAACTTATTTCTGGTTTTTACTACCAACAGTTTCCTATAACAGGAAAAGGTGTCATACAAGGAATGTCTATTCCATTGACATTAAGCACACAATCTTATATATTGTTTCAAACTTAGGTTCAAAGTGTATTCGAATGTCGACAGAAACTATTATGACCAAAAGATACTTATGCGTATAAACAATACTTTCTCTGCTGGTTTGCCTATTGTTCATTCGAATGCAGAATTTTCAACCTTAGTGAACTCAAACACTTTGGCAAGTATAACGTTGACATTAGTTGACGCAAACTTTGTTCCTGTAAAACTTTTATGTCCTATGTATTTGTCAATGACGGCAGAAAGTTTCGAATTGGAAGATGCAACTGGTGAAAGTATTGTATTACAAGAACAACTTCAACAACAAATAGCTCAAGAACAACAAATGCAACAAATGCAACAACAAAGTCAAGAATAAAAAAATAATATTTTTTTTTTTTTATAAAAATGTACAGAATAGATGTTTCAGATTTTTATGACTTCCAAGCATTCAGAAATATGTGTCCATTTAGAGACTATAACAAAGCAGTCGAGAATTTGAAACGTTTAGTCATTTATGTCGACTCTGCCCCAGAATGTTATGTCATGAAAAGAATGGGATGTTGTCTTTACAAACCAAGAGCAACAATAGTTTCAGAACAAGAATGTAGACAGAAACTTAAGAAAATAAAAGTTGTACAAGTTGGAATGAAGATGTTAGATGCTTGGGATATCTTATTGTCAAAGTTAGAAGATTTTTCAGTTCGTGGTATAAAGTTCTATACACCTTCTCCAAACTTCTATTCTATCTTCACTGGATATAAATACGAACAAGTAGAATGGAAAGAAAATATTATAGAAGCTTGGTTAGACCATGTCAAAGAAATTATATGCAATGGAAACGAAAGAGTCTATGAGTATATCTTATGTTGGTTTGCAAATATCTTACAACATCCAAGTGCTAAAAATGAAACTGCTCTCATTATAATAGGAAAACAAGGAACTGGTAAGAATACTTTCTTTACAGATATTTTGTGCAAACTGTTAGAAGGTTATTCGAATCCGAATATGACAAACTTAGAAAACATCTGTGGCAAGTTTAACTCCTCAATAGAGAATATGAAACTTATAGTTTGCAATGAACTTCAAAGTATAGATACAACAAAAGTTTTGAACTCAGATGCTTTGAAGAGTCTTATAACAGACAAAGTTGGAGTTGTTGAAAGAAAGTATAAAGACCAAAGAGTTTGTGAAAATGTTGCAAACTTCATTATGGTTTCAAAAATGCTGTTCCGATGAAGTTAGAAAGTTCTGACAGAAGATATGTAGTTGTCAGAACGTCAGATTCTCATATGCAAGATACAGAATATTTTGACGACTTAGCAGAACTTTGACATCTGACTTTTACAACCACTTGTTCTCATATTTCATGACATTAGATATTTCTAAGTTCAATCCAAGACAAATTCCACATACCGAAGAGAGACAAACATTGTTAGAAGCAAACAAGAGTGTATATGAACTGTTCATAGAAGAAAGCGACTTTGAGTGTTTAGATGAAAGGTCATTGTACGATTCGTATAAACAATATTGTCAAGAATATGGTTATATGGCAGCTTCTAAACGTACATTCTTGGCAAATGTCAAAAGTCTTTTAGATGTTCAGAATGGTGTATATACAAAGAAAAATCTTTCTGAGTAAATTTAAAAAAATATTTTTTTATCCGATAGAAAAGATGACGAAATATATTTCAGTAAACAAGTACATGTCAGGACTTAAAGAAGAACTAGACCCATTCACATATTTGAATGTTTACTTCTACCATTTTGAAAAGTCTTCATTCAGCAAAGTTTGGAACATCGAACCAGTTAAGTTTGCTATTGTGACTAAAAATGGTGCGAAATTTGAAGACTTAGACATAGAAGGTTTGTTAACAGTCAAAGAAAGTTTTGACAGAAGGTTCTCAAACCTTAAAGAAGGCAAAGCATACAAACTTGTTATACCTTATGAACCAAAGAAGACAGACGACTATGAATATTATGAGTCTAAAGTTGTAGAAGTTCAAGGTAAATTGGGTAAAAAGATTTTAGAGTCTAAGCCAGTGTTTACTCCTAAAGAGGAAGAGAACATTGACATTGACCCAGAAATGTTCTAAAAATAAAATTTTATTTTTACATGTCAAATTTCTTTTTCTCTGGAACTGGTTCAGGTTCTTTCTTCTCTTCTTCTTTTTTCTCTTTCTTTTCTTTCTTCTTCTTTTCTGGTGGAGTTATGTCAAATTTGGCGCAACTATATTTATGTAAAAGTTCTTTGTCCTTTAATAGCTCATCTATTCTGTTTTCTATTTCATCTTCAAGAACAGCGCATGTGTCTTCTTTGCATTCTAAGAACTTTTGTTGGACTTCATCTTTCCAATCGGCGTCATCTCTGTCAACAAGTCTGTCATTGACAAATTTTAAGACTGCGCTTTGTAATGTTTTATGGTTCTTGTCATATTCCCAGAAACAGAACTTTAGAACAAATTCACCTTTCTTGTTTACACTATGTAAGATTTTATGGTCGACAGATGTTTTGCTGTCGAAAAGTTTGTCTCGAATATAGATAGCGAAATCGCTAGACATTTTCTAAAAGATAAAAATTTTAATTTTTCTAAAAATATGTTAGAAAAAAAGTTTGCTGACATTGACAAGAAATTTGAGAATGTTTTAAACAAGAACAAGAGGAAGTTAGAAAATGCTCAGATAAAGCCTATACATGACAAGTTCTTATTTGCTCAGAATGGTATAACAGGTCTAATTGCACCACCTGGGTCGGGTAAGACTTTCACTTATCTTAAAATGGCTGCACAACAACAAGAACTAGATGAGAAGAACCCATTCTATGAGTTAGTTGTCATTTGTAGTACTTCTGGTCAATTTGACCAAACCGTCAATTCGTTCAAAGATATTATAAAGAAGTCTAAGTTAGTATGTATAAAGGATACTGAGTTGTTAGATTGGATAAAGAAGTACCAAAGAAGGGTTTTGAAGTACAATGCTATAAATGAGTATATAAATTCTAAGTTTAAAGACCCAAATGAGGAAATGCAGAGAATATTAGAGAAGAAACACTTCAGAAACAAACAGAAAGAGATAGAATACATTTCGAAGAAATTGCAATCTTACGATTGGAAGACTTACCCTCATAGATGTCTTCTTATCTTAGATGACTTTGCTTCTCATCCTTTGCTTAAGAATAGAGAACAAGATATGTGTCGAATTCTTAAGAAGCTCAGACACTTTAACATCTCAGTTGTCATTTGTGTACAGACAGCCAAGAGTTTAAGTAAGGATGTAAAGAGAATACTTACTGACATTGTACTTTTCCCCGGATTGTCCGAAGACGATTTCATGGAACTTATGAAAGAGTCCATGGCAGGTAAGTTTGACAGATATGAACTATGGGAGAAATATAAAGTCATACAAGACCCTCATACTTCTTTCAGAATTCATATCTACGCAAACAAAGTTCAAATTGTAAAAAGTCAATAAAAATAAATGGTTCATCTACCCTACTTGTTTGAAGTTGTCAAAATACTCTGTTATTTTTTCTTTCAGTAGCGGTAAGTCTTCTTTGAAGGTAAGTATTGTACAACCTTTCATATCATAGTGTGTTTGAGGTAACGTATCTTGAACTATTTGTTTCACATCTTCATTTGGGGTCATTGAAATCGGTAAGTTTTCGCGATAGAACCAATTTCTGTCAGATTTGTAAATCTTAGCAAGGTCGTAAAAGCTTTTGTTGTTTCTTCTGACTAAATGCAACATAACCATATCTTTATCTTCTTCATTTTCCATCTCTTCAGTATAAATCATATACTTATAGTTCTTTTCCTTTCCTTTTGGTACCGAACGTGGTATTCTTTTTTGAATGCCTTTGTCTTTTGCTTCAAGCTTGTTTTCCATCTCTTCACGTTCTTGTCTATGAATTTCGTCAAGAAGTCTGTAAATATACCAAGCATAACGAGGCGAAGCCCACATTGCAACAGCATTTACAAGAAGTCTATGTACATAATATCCTCTCAAACCGTTTGGCAATTTTTCACGATTTTCATAGAGTTTTGGCGACTGGGGTTTTCTCGTAGTCGCTGTTCTTCACTGTTTTCAGAAAAAAGTATGTCTCGCTGTGCTTCGCTCAAAAGTTCTTGTGTGCTTTGGTTCCTAAACCAGTCTTGTGGTTTCTTAGTATCTGGAGCAAAACATGCTGTCAAAATACTTTGCATTTGGTACATATCGTCTTTGACCGAACGAATGAGACGGAGTTGTTTGTTAAACTGTATGTACTCGTATTCTTCATTTATAGCTTCATGGACTATAACTGTTGTTGTGTTCTCTGTTGTTGACATTACTGTCTTTACATACAAAATAAAAAAATAAATAAAAATAAAACTAACTTTATTTTTTCTATCTTAAGGAAATTCATGATTTTTGTGCTGAATTCAATAAAAATATAATTTAGGTGAAGCCCACATTGCAACAGCATTTACAAGAAGTCTATGTACATAATATCCTTTCAAACCAGGAGCCAAATTCTTGCGATTTTCGTACGGAATCTCTTCTCTCGGTTTTCCGAGGGAAGCAATCATATGAGGAAATTCATGATTTTTGTGCTGAATTCAATAAAAATAATGTTTAGGTGAAGAGGTGAGATTTCCCCTCTTTTTTCACCTCATTTCTACCCCAGTTATTTTATAAACGTTTCACATGGTAAACGTTATTTTTTAAATTTTGTGAAAACTCAACGGTTTGATACATGCCCTAAAAATTATTTTACTCAGAATTTTGTTGCTGAATTCAATAAAAATATATTTTAGGTGAAGAGGTGAGATTTCACCTCTTTTTTCACCTAATTTTTCACCCCAGTTATTTTATAAGCGTTTTACATGAATTGTACGATGTATATTTGAAATCCTAAACAGTTTTGTAGCTTCTATTTCTTCTTTTAGTACATCGAATGTTTTAACAATGCCGAAAGTTTCTTTATACTTCTTCTTGACGTCAGATAGAAGGAAATCGTCAGCAGTTGGATAGTTTTTGTTCAGAAATTCTAACATGTCCATTTTATTTTCTACCGGCTTCTCTGCTTCTTTCTTTAAATCTGCATAGTCGTTTCTCATTCTTTCTATCTCGTTGACGGAGTAGTTATATCTCCTCATTGCCGCTTTACATTTAGAACATTGCGGGTTCATTTTTGCGTTATATTCTGAAACCTTACCTGCTAAAACAACCAAGGCGTCAATGGTTTTCTTTAAATCTGAAGCAGTTGGTTTTATCTGTTCATGCCATACCTTACCTCTTCTATCTTTATCTCTTATCTGCCATACACATTTTGCAGCTAATGAAACAAAGTTGTCGTATGTCTTAAACTCCCCAGATTTATATATGTCAGAGATGTTCTTATATACCATGTCGCAATCTTTGTCCATAACTTTATGGTTGCAATGAAAACCAAGGAATTCATAATTTACCTTTCGTATGAACTTCTTTATTTCTACTGAGTCAGTTGCTTTGACTTCAATTTCATCGAATTCAGGAATAGTGAGCTTTTGTTGTTGGATTTCAGGCAATTTGGGTAAATGGTCAATAATGTCCTGCATTTCATAAAGATACTGTTCATTTGTTTCATCTTTCGCACTACAGTCTAAATTACTTGTTAAAAGTTCCTGCTTTATCTTCTGGATTTCTGTTTCGAAAGTATATGAAGAAGGAATGAAGCTTTTCATCTCTATTAACATAGATGTTGGATTCATGACTAACGAGTTTGGTGCTGTAGTTGTTTGAATTGTTGTTGTGCCGATTGTTGACATATCTGTTCTTACATACAAAATAAAAAAATAAATAAAAATAAAACTAACTTTATTTTTTCTATCTTAAGGAAATTCATGAAAATTCAAGAGGGTGAAAAAAGAGGTGAAATCTCACCTCTTCACCTAAATTATATTTTTGCTGAATTCAGCAACAAAATGAACGAGGTCAGGATGTATGTAAATACATTTGAATTCATTCATAACACCCTTTGTAAGCTCATAAAATGCTTGTTTTGAGGTCGAGCCACTTTTGGCTCCACCGTATTCTTTCAACCAAAACTCAAGAATTTCCTGCATGAATTTTGTATAAAAAGCAACCGTCTGAATTCCGGCGGTTGCTATATTCTTCACAAAATGCCTTATAATACTCTTCCCAGGACTTATTTTCCAACAACTTTCTAAAGTCTTTCCTAAACTGACTGACTGACTGACGGCACAAAGTGGCTTAACGAAAACATTAATATATAAAATTCATGAAAATTCAAGAGGGTGAAAAAACAGGTGAAAAAAGAGGTGAAATCTCACCTCTTCACCTAAATTATATTTTTTGGTCCGGGAACAACTTTCTCTCAATTGGAGCTGTAGCATACTCTTTGCGTAAGCGGTTCAGACCTTCTTCGAAGTCTTGGTCTCTCTTGGACTGAGATTGGAATTGCTGGGGTGGAGCTTGCTGGAACATCCAAGGGTTGGGGCAGTAAGGCATAGGCTGAGGAGGGTAGTTCGGGAAGCCTTGTGGTGGGTAGTAACCTTGAGGTGGAAATTGGTAGTAATTCGGAGGTACTTGCTGGAACTGAGGTGCAGGGGCTGGTGCTTTAGGTTCCTCTGGTTTGGGAATGGACTCGGTTGGTGGTACGTCGGACATTGTCTTGAAACAGTACAAGTATTGTTCTGAAACAGTACAAGTATTGTTCTGAAACAGTACAAGTCTTGTTCTGAAACAGTACAAATATTGTTCTGAAACAGTACAAGTCTTGTTCTGAAACAGTACAAGTATTGTTCTGAAGCAGTACAAGTATTGTTCTGAAACAGTACAAGTATTGTTCTGAAACAGTACAAGTCTTGTTCTGAAACAGTACAAATATTGTTCTGAAACAGTACAAGTATTGTTCTGAAACAGTACAAGTATTGTTCTGAAACAGTACAAGTATTGTTCTGAAACAGTACAAGTATTGTTCTGAAGCAGTACAAGTATTGTTCTGAAAAAGTACAAGTATTGTTCTGAAACAGAAAATTTTTCTCACAAATTGAGAGCTTTTACGGGAAATTTGTTATGAAAAAGTTCAAGTCTTGTTCTGAAACAGTACAAGTATTGTTCTGAAAAAGTACAAGACTAGTTCTGAAACAGTACAAGTATTGTTCTGAAAAAGTACAAGACTAGTTCTGAAACAGAACAATGGACAACATCGAGCCATTAGATGAGGCAATTTACCTTATAGAGATAAATGAAGTTGTTAAGCAGTACTTGGGCAAGGACAAAGCCAACAAGTCCCTCGGCTTCTGGTTGTCTGGAAGAGGTGCGCTGAAAATCGAAATTGAAACCGGAATTCCAATTCAAATACCAGAAAACACTCCTGTAGACGACATAAAGGAGATGAAGAAAGAAGCTCTTCTCAAGTTCTTTGCCAAGCGTCCTTGGATACAACTTCCAAACAGAGAGAGTCCAATTCCACGAATTATACAAATTCTCAGAGCACTGTTCCACTTCTCGGGTCAGCCGTTCTACATAACCTCAGAAGGCGACATTCAGCCAGTTCAGTAAACATCTCATTTTAACTCACTTTTTTATGTTTTTTGTGAAAGTGTCAAAAATAAATTGTTTTCATGAGTTTTCTACGATGTTAGAAAAATGTTATTTTCTAATATCTTCACATTCAATACTTTTTCAGCACTTTTCCGTAGTTATATATGAAAGACAATTCGAGATAAAAGTCATAGTACAATGGAATAATATGTTGCACACCATTTGTTGTGAACCAAACTTGAAAGTCAGAGAAACTGTTACTAGGTGGTTCGTAGAATTTAGAAGCAAAGTCATAAAGGTCCTTACCAATACATAGAAAACTATTGTTGCTTGAACTGAAACTTGCATGACACATAACATTTTGAGGGTCAAACACGTTTTATAAACCATCAATCTGCTGGTGGAAGTATAAATTTAAATGACATCTGGTGGTAATGGTTCGTTCTGGTTTTAGTAACGAAGAAATTGTGCCCAAGAACGTTTGTCTACTTCCCAAAATAAAAACTCTGTATCTCTTGGGGGTTAATTTCAATCTTTTGAAATGAAACGGTGGAGTTCATCTTGTCATATCTAGTTTTCAGATAGTATGTTCCATTTAGAAGAGTCGTATTTTTTTTGAAATTCCCAATAATATTTGTTCATTTTGAGTTTGAAAGTCAATCTAGAGTTTTCTCAAGACTTTCGTCTGAACGAACTGAAGATTCTCATTTCGTCAAATTTGTCTATTAGACAATCAGGACCTTTATTACTGCCCATGAAAATATACTGCGAACATAAATGCGTTAGTTCTATTTGAAAACAAAACTCTTCTAAATCCTATTGCCTTTGCATCTGAAGGACTTTGAAGCCAACGAATTGGATAGTCAAACCTGTATGCTCGGATGAATTTCTTCATCTGAAATAGTCCTACCAGCATTTGTAAAGATATAGTCTAACGGTTTTGTATCTGCTACTTTTGTTCTTTGTTTTTCAACCTGAAGCATTTAATATATGTAAAAATATATTGTTTTAAAATGGTATGCCATATAGCTTCTTGAATTTGTTAAGAAGTATTTGAACGTATTTTCCATCTGTATCTCTAGTGTTTACATAAGCAAACTCAGCGTACATTTCAAATAAAATAAAAAAAATGTCACTTTTTAAAAATAAATTTTTTACTTCATGCAATGTTTTATTTCTGTGCCGTCTTCAAGTATGCCCCAATATTTCCTTTCGATATTACATGAACTTCGGAAAATACCTTATCTAGCTTAAAACAGCCCATCTTTTCACCGACTATTCCCATTTCAATGAGTTTGTTATAGCCTTCTTCGTTCGTCATGAGTGCGTCAATGTTCTCATAGTAAACCTTGACTTTGGATTTGACTTCGGAGAAGAATTTGTTGTAGTTGTCAAGGACTGCCTTTGCGAACTGAGGGTAAGACCAATGTTCGACAATAGGTTTTAATGTGGTTACTAAGCCACTTTGACCTTGAGTGAATTCGTACTTCAAAACAAAAGGAGAAAACCTTTCAACAAAGTTGTCGACCTTCTCATAATGTTTACTCTTCATCTCTTGAGGTTTCTTAATGGAATATCCCCATGTCGAATTCATAAGCAATTTGAGTGTCATTGCAAGTTTGGGGTTTGAAGCTTTCCTAATATCATACAGTTGTTGTATGACTTTTCCAACTGTATAGTTCCTTCCTGGGAACTCACCATCTTCGTTTGGAATTCCAGTCGGAATATATTGGACAAACCTCATGTATGCAGCGTTAAGGTCGACATAGTATATCTTTTCATCTGAGTCGAACTTGTC